TACAGATACTGAAAAAACATCTTAAATTTCAAAAGGAAATATAAAAGACCCAGGATAGTCAAAATAATTCTGAACAATTAAAAAAACCCAAAAAACTGCTGCAGTATCACCACCCCAGATTATAAGTTTTACAATGGAGTCACAGTAATACAAATAGCGGTGTTGGCATCAAAACAAACATTGATTAATGGAATAGAACTGAGGACCTATATATAAATCCAGACTCCTACAGTTATCTGCTTTTTATTTTTTTCACAAAGCTGCCAATAATACACACTGCAGGAAAGATAGCATCTTCAACAAATGGATAAATACTGCCACTCAAACTGGATAGCTACACATAGAGGAATGAAACTCAATTCTTATTTTTCAATCTTATAAAACTGAACTTCAAATAGATCAAGGACCCCAGGATAAGACATGATGCCCTGAATCTGATAGAGCAGAAAGTAGAGGATATACCTACAGGCACAGGAAAGGAATTTCTGAACAGGATCCTGGTGGTGCAGACATTAAGACCAGCAACTGACATGGGACCACATGAAACTAAAACATGACTGCACATCAAGGGTTACTATTATTTGAATGAGGAATCCTACAAAATGAGGAAAAACCTTGACCACCTATACATGTCAGATGGTTAGTATCCAGAACATAAGAAGAACTAAAACAAAACTCCTAAACATCAAGAAAACAAACAATCCAATAAAAAAAAATGGGTCACTGAACTGTATAGAACTCTCAAAAGAAAGACTATATATGGCTGAGACTTAGTTTTGAAACTGTTCAACATCCTTAACTATGTAATGGAAATACAAATTAAAATTACTTTGAGGTTTCATGTTGCCCTAGTCAGAATGGTCAAGATAAAAAGAAAGAAAAATCCAAACCATGACAAATGTTGGCATGGATGTAGGCATGGGAAACACTCACATCCAGTGAGAGTGCAAACTGTTGCAGCCACGGTGGAAATCAGTGTGGAGATTCCTCAAAAAGCTGGAAGTAAGTTTCCTATTTGATCCAGCTATACCACTCTTAGGCATTTATCCAAAGGACAATCTATTCCATCCTGGAAACATCTGCTCATCCATGTCCACTGCTGGCCATTCACAATAGCCACAGGTGAAAAACGGTCTAGATGGCCACCGACAGGTGATGGATGATCACAATGTGGTCCATCGACACAGTGGGAATTATCCAGCCGTTAAGAGAAATAAGCTTACGAAACCCTCCGGCAAATGGGTAGAGCTGGAAACACTCATTCTGAGTGAACTAATCCAGACCCGGAAAGACAAACATCAGGATGTGTCAAGTTGTCCTTTTGCTTTTCCTGTCAACAGCCAGGAAGAGAATGTTCACATGACTTCTCTCATCCTCAAGCCATTGTGCATCCTTGCCTTTTGCTCCCGGAACACACTCAGCAAGTAGGGAAAGTGGGTGCTCCATTGCTTTCAAAGGTTTTATTCCTTCATCCTCTTAAAAGTGGGATCCATAATTTGTATCTATATTAAGCACAGCTAGATGCATTTCTTACAACTTACAATTATTTACAAGAGGAAGACTATATTGAACTTGTGCATAAGTAATGTCTCCAATATTCTGAGCTGTCCCAAGAGAAACAGAAGCAGCAGCCATTTGCTATCTGCTGGGGGAGATATCAAGAGCTATGCATACATTTTTTCATTCATAGAACTCTGTGCTACGGTCACTGTTGGTTCTCATGAGAAAACTGCAGTGCAGAGAGATTACAAAACTTGCCCTGAGTCACAGGACCTGTAAAGAAAGCTATGATTGGTTGATCAATACTGCTTATTTGTGAGGGAAATGGAACCACAAGAATGGGTAAACTATATTTTTCAAAATAAGTGTCTAGAGTAACATTTTCAAAAATAAAGCTCTAGAATCTTATGTTTTTATCTGATATCAGAAAAGGTAGCACAGAAAAGGTAGGACAGTGATTGCTATCCACTAAGACACTTGAGGGAGGAAAAAGACCCTGACATTTTCGAAAGCTTGTTCATAAAACTAATTTTCTAAGCTCAAATCTTATTCCAGAAGATCAATTTCTGCATGGTACATTGTGCATAATTTAATTTTCCCAGTTGAACATCTTGACACTATATGAACCATGAATGCATGAAATAGGAATTCCAAATGGCTTCCACATGGTGAGAGGACTTTCAAGTACAGCAGGAAGCTTAAGAGCAGCTTGAGATGCAGTCATGTCAGGTCTCAGTGACTTCCCTTCTGTATGCCTACAGTCTTAGCACTTTCCCTAGAGTGGGATACTGAGGTGATAGATAGAGGAGTCTGTTGTCTGTATTTAGGCTGTTGGTTCATTTCCTGAGAGCTGTGGAAGGCATGTGGGTGCTCATTAAGTTTCCAACTATTCCCCGAGAGCAACAGGTGGCGAACCAAAGCCTCTCTGGTATGTAATGGCTGGTTTCCTCAGTGTCTTGGACATAACGGATGGCACGAGCACATGCTCTGTAGTAGTGGCAGATAAGGAGGACATGACTGGCAACAGGAAATATTTCCAAAGCATAAACACATACATAGGCCTAAGATCATGACTGATGTTTTCCTTACTTCATGTCTCATAGTAACACATATGGGTTTCAACTACTGGTTAATAACTTGAACTATGAAATGAGAATTAATTTTCCTGTAGTTTGCCACCATAGCAGAAGTGAGGCAAATTAAATTAATAAGGAGTATCTCAAGTTAATGTAGTATCACAAAATTATAAAATTTTAAGTCTATATTTATGAATACACAATGAATACTATCTTAATGTGTTCTTAAATTGTCTTCCCCCAAATTATTTACCAATGTTTAGTACTTATCACATTGCAATGGAAGCTTATCTTTCATTTGAATTAGAGTGAGAAGACAAATCTTATTAAACCAAAAATAGAGCTCATGATTTATCTCAAACACCAGATGGTGACCCAATCATGGTACTGACATGAGCAAGAGAAACATCTCTAGTGAATAATGAAGAGTTTTTGCCAATTCACAGTTTCTCAGTTCAATCATTTAGTGAGTCAGAGATGGGGGGGGCAGTATCAGAGCCACACTACCTCAGCAAAATATTTCTAGCACTTATCAGGCTGTGGGAATTTAAAAACTTACTAGAGGTGGCAACTTACTATTAACCCTCTCTACCTGAGAATTCATGACCTTCTGAATGGGTCATGAGTGACTGAAAAGGTCATTGGGAAAGGCCAAGAGTTAGTGTAGACAAAGCATTGAAGTAAGGCAAGGTTCACAAATACATAACTATTGAAAGCATTTACGTCTATGTGTGTATTTATCTGTATCATATTTTGGAAAAATAATGCCTCCATTCTTATTCTTTTTGACCAGAGTGCCTGAAGCCCAGAAGAAGGGACAAGTGGATTTCAGAGCACCAAGGTTCTCCTGAGGTAAGCTTGCACCCTGTCAAGCCAAAGAGCTTGCTGTAGTGACCTCCCTGTCCTTCCAATGTCCTTTGTCTCAAATGTCTTCACTATGATTTGTATCACCACCAGATTCTAATTAACACCCAGAAACATGTCCTTCAATCATTTAAAAATTTATGATCTTATCATTTATAAAAAGCTGTCGTTTTAATGCATGGAAGTTACTAAAGAACTGCCATAAATTAACCCTGTAATATGAGCTTTCCCATCAAGTTAGGATGTCATTCTTGCTAAGAAGCAAATGACAGGTAAGTGACTTTGACTCTTCAGCAAACATTTTTCAGAGTGCACTATCTACCAAAGAGTCAAAGTATATATTAAAAGCAATCTGAAATTTCACAGTAATCTAGAAACAGACAACAAAATACTAGAACCAGGATTTCTGAGTGCCAACCTAGAAGACATGTTTTTTCTATGTATTGATCACCTATATAATATTATAAACATCATAGGACATTTAATACTTGTAAAATCATACTGACTTTAGTTAACACATTATACAATATCACACAGAACTGAAGTATGAGCATTGGTTTTAGAATGGAACACGTGCTTGCATTGTTACTCTGTTACTTCTGGCATATATGTGAAGTTTATTCTAAAAATATCACACAGAACTGAAGTATGAGCATTAGTTTTAGAATGGAACATGTACTTGCATTGTTACTCTGTTACTTCTGGCATATATGTGAAGTTTATTCTAAAGGAATAGCTAAGATAATAGAATATTACGTCTTGTAGGCGCCATGGGAAAAGTCTTAAAATATTTTCAAAAAACCATTTTAAGTGACCTAAGAATCTTTAAATATTTTTCTTAATCTTTTTTTAAAAAGATTTTATTTATTTACTATGTATACAACATTCTGCTTCACCAGGTCTCATTATAGATGGTTGTGAGCTACCATGTGGTTGCTGGGAATTGAACTCAGGACCTCTGGAAGAGCTCTTAACCTCTGAGCCATCTCTCCAGCCCAGAATCTTTAAATCTTAAAACGATGTTTTAATCTTGAACCTTAAGTGATTATTTGAAAAGATGAATACAGAGCATTTGTGGAAAGTACATGTGTTGGGCCAAAACATTTTAGCAATGAAGTTTCTGTTTTTCCATGAGGGTGACTGACAGGAGGTGGTGACATGGCATCATCTAGGGGTTATTAGAATGGTGAAGCAGATGCATGGTTGCCCCAGCTATCTGTTTTACAGGTGTGCTAAGATGAATTCTGGTTAAAATTTGATAGGACCTGAGGGCTGAAGTTAAAAGTTAAAGGTAAAGAGATTCTTTCTAGACCTTAAAAACCTTGCATGATTTCATTTGAAATGACATTTGTTGATAAAGCCAACAGTGAAATATATAGTCTGGATGGCAATGGCTAACTTTAAATACCTACATGCTATTTCAATTAAAAAAAACAAACTAATCATTTGAGACAACTTTAGAATCATTAATGATCAGTATTCACTTTTTTCTCAATTTTCCTCTAATTTTTGGGTGACTCATAACTATAGTTCTGTATAGTCGGTCAGTGGAGTATTTACCTTGATCCCCGGGAGTCCAGGTAGTCCAGGCAGCCCTGGCTCACCCTACGTGGGAAAATCACAATGCATTATAGAGCAACATGTACTCAATCACAGCATCAGAGAAAAACATGGCTAATGTCCCAGCTGAACAGTTTCTGCAAATAGAAATGTATACAAAAGACTGGGGAGGGAGAATGAGTCTGGTTGATCAACTCTCCATTCCAGGATTGGCCGACCGACCACTTGGTAGATTTCTTAAACACTGGCCTTTGCCTGCAGTTCACTGCTCACTGGCATCTCTATCAGATGGCATGAGAGAGGAGTAAAGGAGGAAAGACTGCATTTATGACTCCCTTGGCCAAGGATTTGTTGGAGCTGCTTGCTTCAATAACGTGTCCTATTATCCCAGGGCTCTCTCTGCTTGGATAAGCAAGAGACTGTTGTATGAACAGATGGCACCAGGAAAACAACACACAGTAAACATGTTGCTCACTTAAAAGCATAGTAAGATTTCCTTTTCATTCCTGAAGGATGAGAAGACAAATAAATGGTTAAGAATGTACTTGGGTCCAGCCTGTATTCCTGACAATTGCTGGATTAGGGTGACCCTGCTTAGCAGTGTTGGGCTAATGGTGCTGTGCAGCTGTTCCAGGACATAGGTCAGAGATTAAGTAGGCCTTGGGTAGGCACACTAGAGACAGGCTAAACCTTCTCATTTTCACAGAATTGTCTGTGTTATTTTAAGCACAAGAGGTTACATTGCTTAGAAAGTCTCTTGAAGTCCACTACAAAAGAATAAAGGAGTCGGGAAAAAATATGTTTGCCATGAAGTGTTGCTCTATTGTCTGTGGAAGTGACACAGAAGGTAAAACAACCATAGAATTTTGTAACGGTCAATTAGGGAGATGACAACCATTTCCAAAGAGGGAGAGGTCCCAGGAGGGTGGGAGGGGAGGCACATGTTACAGCCTCAATGCTTCCATCATCTTTCACTTTTAATTATTTTATTATCATTGTGCATGTGTACATGCCCCCACAGCTCATGTGTGAAGGTCCAAGGACACCTTTGTGGGCTTGGTTCTCTCCTTCCATGTTTGTGTGGGTTCTGGGGATCCAGTTCAGGCTTTACATCTTGTGGAGCAAAGTGCTTTGACTGCTGAGCCATTTTGTTGGCCCTTAACTCAAGGAAAACCTACCAACAACTGGGTCTTCCATCTCCACTACCTGCCCTTTCAAATTACAAAGAGCTAGAATTTCTTCTGGAATTAAAATATTAAACCTTTAGACATTTTATTAAGTCTTTTATTAAACAAGTGGCTCCCTTGCTACTTGTTAAAGGTATTTCAGGATTTAATGCAAAAGAAAAGGCATTCTGTGCAGAAGAGTGCATTATAAATACAACTACAAGGAAATTAGAGAAGAAAGGAATGCTAACTTGCCTATTATTCCTTTCGAGACCAGGTGTCTAGGTATATTAAACTTCACAGAGTTTCAACACCATACATTGTTTTTCTTTTTTGTTTTCTCTTTTACCTTTTATTCAGTAACATTAAGAGGACCTAATAGAAAGGGCTTGCATACATATTATACTGAAAGTTATCTTTTGCTTAAAAATAGTGTGAAGCTTTTGGAAAAAGGAACTGAATATCCAACCAATAACACTTGGGATTGTTTTTAAAAAGACTCTCCCAACTCTTATGATGATATTGCATCTGAAGCTTATGAGGAAATAAATAGGTTATAATATTATATTTCAATAAGAATTCTCACCACTTCCTTCTCTACCAACTTAAAAGGACCACATAGCTATTTTAAAGAAAAGACTGAATTGCACATGTATGCATGATTAGCACCTGCAATGTTTTCTAATGAGAAAAATGTAAAAAAATGACAGGATAATATATAAGATAATGAAATGTTAAATGATGAGTATTTAGCCTTTCTCTATGTATGTATATGTGTATATGTGTATATGCATGGTTGTTCAATACACATGGTTGTTCATAAATGTATGTTTTAGTTATAAATACTTCAGGTATTTATATTCTTTTTATATTCATATTTTATGGTGTTGAATGTTTGTGACTTTTACCTTTCCAAGTTTGTATTTACTTCCTGCTCATAGCAACATAACGAGAGATGGTAATATCATCAATGTTACCCGTATGGAGCATTTTTTCACATTTTCAGTAAGACATTTCTTTCTGTAGAAGTCTTTATCTTTATGTTGTGGAAAGCTTACCTTTCAACTAAGAGAAACGATTTTAGTTGACTTGGTCATCCATGTCTATGCCATGGCTCAGAAGCCTCTTAGGAACACAGTTAATGTGTTAGACATGAGTCATAATTAAGAGTCAGCTTGTTATTTTATTCAGAGTCTTCATTCAAGAATTTTAACTACACACAGCTACATTATATTTTTTAATTTTACTATTTTTCCTTTCCAACTCTCCATTCTCCAGTCTGAGTATATTAAACTTCACAGAGTTGCAACACCATACATTGTTTTTCTTTTTTGTTTTCTCTTTTACCCTTTATTCAGTAACATTAAGAGTACCTAATAGAAAGGGCTTGCATAAATATTATACTGAAATTTATCTTTTGCTTAAAAATAGTGTGAAGCTTTTGGAAAAAGGAACTGAATATCCAACCAATAACACTTGGGATTGTTTTTAAAAAGACTCTCCCAACTCTTATGATGATATTGCATCTGAAGCTTATGAGGAAATAAATAGGTTATAATATTATATTTCAATAAGAATTCTCACCACTTCCTTCTCTACCAACTTAAAAGGACCACATAGCTATTTTAAAGAAAAGACTGAATTGCACATGTATGCATGATTAGCACCTGCAATGTTTTCTAATGAGAAAAATGTAAAAAAATGACAGGATAATATATAAGATAATGAAATGCTAAATGACGAGTATTTAGCCTTTCTCTACATCATGTATGTATATGTGTATATGTGTATATGCGTGGTTGTTCAATACACATGGTTGTTCATAAATGTATGTTTTAGTTAAATACTTCAGGTATTTATATTCTTTTTTATATTAATATTCTATGGTGTTGAATGTTTGTGACTTTTACCTTTCCAAGTTTGTATTTACTTCCTGCTCATAGCAACATAATGTTACCCTTATGGAGCATTTTTTTCACATTTTCAGTAAGACATTTCTTTCTGTAGAAGTCTTTATCTTTATGTTGTGGAAAGCTTACCTTTCAACTAAGAGAAACGATTTTAGTTGACTTGGTCATCCATGTCTATGCCATGGCTCAGAAGCCTCTTAGGAACACAGTTAATGTGTTAGACATGAGTCATAATTAAGAGTCAGCTTGTTATTTTATTCAGAGTCCTCATTCAAGAGTTTTAACTACACACAGCCACATTATATTTTTAATTTTACTATTTTTCCTTTCCAACTCTCCATTCTCCAGTCTGAGAGAGTCCTGCACCTGGGATTCTGTTAGAATACCCTGGGTATCCACAGAGCTCATTGACCGAAGTCCCTTCAGATGGGGAATCAAGTGATTTCCTCCTTCAAAGTTAGAATGGATACTTTTAGGCTAGGAAGGCAAGACCTATGTGGTGAAACACAGTTCACACTTTACAAGTCTATAGGGTCTCTACCAGCCTACGTGCTACTCTTCTGCTGAAGCTACAGGAGAAAAACCTGATAAAATGAATCTCCCCTACAATGTCACCCTAGATGAGCCCTGGAGATGATCTCAGGTGGAAGGCTCATCACTCGGCTTGTGCCAGGTTGTACTTTCCTGAGTAGAACCCTAAATTCAGGAACTATGTGACAATGAACACCACAGCACTGCTCTGCAATGGTGCCAAAAATATCATGAATGATATCCAGGACTGACTGTATACCCAGGTTAGTTTGTCATTTTTGCCTCAAAGCAGCAAACATAGAAATGATCTGTTTTCAGTGTTAGGGGCATTATTATGAAAATCTGATGCTAGACATAGGAAGTCATAGAATGGTAGGAAGGTGAGATTGTGTCAGGGGGTAGAATCTGAACTAAATATTAATAAAAAGGATGTTGTTTGCTTCAGGCCATCTATCAACCTAGATGAAAGCTCCTTTTGATGTCACTGAAATCTATTTTTTGAT